TGTGTGTGTGTGTGTGTGTGTGTGAATGATAGGCAACGGTTTATGAATGTATTATTGTGTTGTTTCCTGGGTTTCGCATGACGGGGACACGAATGGTTGTCTGTTCATTCTGGTGAAGACTGCTGTAGTCATCGTTCGCTTTTGTACGAGCCAGGTTTGCTGACTTCTGTTGACTTCCGGCCATATGATTATTATTCTTAACATTTTTTGTAACGAAAAAGAAAAAACGAGGGGGGAGAGATTTATCACCAGAGTTACAGTGTGTGCTCTGAGCTTTATACCATCGTTAGCAGCTAACGCACGCACGCACACACACACACGGAGAGAGAGAGAAAGAGAGAGAGAGACAGAGAGAGAGAGAGACAGAGAGGGGGGGGGGAGAAGACAATGGAAAGGAAGGAAAAGAGAAGCAGACAACGACAATAGGCCTGTACTAGAGAGGCTGATATGTGACGGCACTGACATCATGTTTAAGGAATAAGCGAGGATAAATATCTGCCCCAAATGGGCACTGGAATCTGGGGAGGAGGGGCGGGGGGGGGGGGGGGGGGGCTGAAACACCATCTTTCCGGTTGGCTTCTTGGGAAATAACGTATCCTTAGTATATGAGGTCCTAGTTATCCTTTTGTCTACAAATATTGCACCTAGAGCGGCGGTTCTCAAACGTGTTTCGCCGCGGCATCCATGTCGGGCAAACATTTTTTGGTGTCTTCGCTGATCTCACGCAGATTTTGAAAAATTCTTGATTATTGCCGCGGCACCCCCTGGCATAGGCTCTCGGCACCGCTGGCATATGCTCCCGGCCCTCCGGGCATACGCTTCCGGCCCTCCTGGCGTATGCTCCCGGCACCCCTGGCATACGCTCCTGACACCAATGGGTGCCGCGGCACCCAGTCTGAGAACCGCTGCCCTAGAGAGCTCGTCCAGGCCAAGGAATCGTCACCTCCGCCACTCGACTGCTTGATCTCATATCCGCATGTTGAGCTTACCTCTCATCAGCGGCTGCGCCCCTTAAAGATCAACAGGAAGCAGTCCGCAGGATCGAGACTTCGATGACGACACATTATTGTATTTATCATCATCATCATCATTATCATCATCATCATCATCATCAGTCTTATTATTGCTGCGCTTTTAAAAAGGCTTTACCCCTTACCTTAATAAAACTATAACAGGTGCTGAGCGCCCTACTCCAGTGCTGTTTTTGTTGCGGTGCCCACCATGCACTGGCTGGGTAAGCTGAATCATAATCCTACTGTACCGTGTGGGCATGGGAAAGGTAAGCAGGTAAGGTTGCAGAGAAAATTCCTGATTGTAGTCTTCCCATGAATAAGGCACTATAAGAGAAGAAAAAAACTACATGTGAAATACGATGTCTCTGTAAGATCACTAACAACACAAGAAGGGGCAGGGTTACACAGACCAGATTACGGGAAAAATTTGTGTATTTGTTCTTTTAACAGGTTTCAGCTTCACCACCTCTTTCTTCGTCTTCCTCTCACCTTCCTCCTCGATGTTCTGCTGTAAAAAATCATATATGAAATTCGATCTGCCTGCATTCTCACTAGCCAGCTAAACTATTTCATACATTGTCGGAATAATTTTCAGACGTTGATATTACAACGTTTCCCCGAAAGCTATCACATTCTTCGGTATCATACAAGTGGAAGATAACAGGTGACACATATCGGGCGGGCGGGCGGGCGGGTATGGGGGGGGGGGGGTAGAAAAGGCAAAGTATTTGACCCGAGTTAAGCATTCCCATACGAAGGTCAGAGTAATAGAGACGTATAGAATGGTGGCTGCCTGCTTTAGACACAATATCAGGGAAGGGATATCCCCATGACTGTGTGCACAGCAATTTAATCCAACTTCTTCAGTCAAAGATCGTTAAAGATTCAGCAGCTTTAGGATTACAGCCCAACAAAATATATTTGGCGAAATGCCGAAAACAAATAGTTGTTTTCATGTGTGGGTACCGGGGCCCTATTGTGGGTGATGGGAGAGAAGAACAGACCCACTACTTCCCTAACAAACATTTAAGCGTTGACTTATTGAGGGTTTCCTTCCAAGGACCAGTAGTCTGCATTTAAATAACTTAGGCCTGTAACACAGATGGGCATGCAACCCTTAGGTTCTGGAACGAGACTAAAGTCTTGAAGTTGACGAATACCAGACGTTTAGATCTGAGTTTACAGCTGGGGAAGGCAAAGAAGAAGAAAAAGAAGAAGAAGAAGAAAAGAAGAAGAAGAAGAAGAAAATAAGAGGAAGAAGAAGAAAAGAAGAAGAAGAAGAAGAAGAAGAAGAAGAAGAAGAAGAAGATATAATTATAAGGACTAAGCAAACGTGTCGGATAACTATGCGTTGCTTTTCACAATTTTAAAAATTTTTTGGAACAGTAATTTATTTGTCAATCAGCACAAACATATTAATAATAAGCTAATGTGCTGAATGGCAAACAAATATGCAAATATACTTGAAACTGAATGAAATGTAAGAAGAGATACTTTAGAAGATTATTTCTATACCTGGTTAAAGGAGGCGCCTTAACCTGCTTACAAACGTAATGTGTTTATATCTGAGATAAAAAAAATAGATGGGGGAGGGGGGAGGGGGTAAATAGGGGCGGAACGCTTATGGGTTGTCTTGAGTGCTGTGATGTCGATTCTTAACATTAAACTCCATTGTCATGCTGCTAGCAGTTATACAGAAAGTACCACTGGCCTCCTGGACTGTACTGTCTGCAGACCACACAGTAAATGCCCATGCACTTTTTTTGTCCTTGTACAAGGCACCCATCTGTGTAGATCAGTATTTCCGCAGTATGTGAATTTTCACGTTCCCCAACTGTATGATGAAAATTCCAGCGTAGCCTCCCTTTTGCAACATGGCGACAATAGAACTAAAGTTTACAAATATCCGGTGGTGACACATAGGCCTCTACTTGAATGAGCGTTTTTTTTTTTTCTTTCTGTATGTTGATTTTGAAATAACACAAATTTCAGCTTGCAATCACATAAATGTATTAAGCTGTTATTTATAGAAAAATATAGAAAAATAATAATTCAACCTTACTGGTTAAACATCTTCTCACGTCAGCAGGGTAAGAAAAGATCTCCTGGAACGGGCCCTTCCTTCTGTTTGCTTCGTATTTTATTTAGTACCTTTGAGCGTCTCTGATATTTGTACTGTCTTACTGTCTATATTTTCGTGGTCGACCTCTGGCTCTGTTACTGCTGTGTCTGCATATCATTGCTGTCTGTGGTGCCCTGTTTGATGCCAGTCTTGTTACATGGTCAAACCATTTGATCTGTTGCTGTTGTCTATCAAAATAAAGTTCACACTTTTTTCCTGCTGATGATATCGTTTCGAAGTCAGTCGTTTCTTGTTAGTAACAATCTAGTATAGTACATAAACATTTCATTTCTGTTCTATTTTTCTTCTGTGTTCTGAAAATAGTCCATGTTTGACATATTCTGAGTGGAGTATATATATTAATATGTTCTTGTAGTTGTACAGCTGTCGGTGCTATGACTCCCTGGTCATCGGCAAAAAGCAGTTAATTCGTTGGTGTTGCTGATTTGCAAGTTTATTCGAATTGTGTGATAAATAGTGTGGTGAAAGAAGAACACATCCCTGTCTCACTCCAGATCGAATGTCAAACTTTTCTGTCACTCCTGTATTTGTTCTAACTGCGCATGGACTGTTGTTAACATGTAAACTCTTGCACAATTTAATAAGATGTTAGTTTGTTCTGTAATTATATAGTATGTTCCATAATTTATTCCTATTACCTCAATCGAAAGCTTTCTCTTGGTCTATAAATGGGAATGGAAATAATAATAATTTTAATAAGTATGGAAACTATTTTAACTCATAACATGCCTCTTTGAAGTAATACAAATCAATAAAAAACATGATTGTTGTGATTATTGTCTTATTTGAATATCTGCCTACAAAATTTTGTTTTTTAAACACCCAGGACTGAATAAGTTAAATCAGCTCTCAATATATGAATCCCCTATAATCTGTCTGAAGGCTGTTTTTTTGGTTTGTATGTAGGCATATTTGAATGATTTTGAATTTTTTTTTTTCACTTGTGATAGTTACTTTATTGTCAGAGCTAGGGTCAGTAGGATAAGCTGCTAAGTTAGTAAGTGCACATTTATATATGAATATGAAAGACATGAATTTCATGATAACAGTTTTTTTTTAAACAGTTCTGAAGCATAAACAGCACTGCTTAAATTTAGCCCCACAAAAGTATATAAAATATAATTAGAACAACCTAGCTTATCATACATAGTTAATGTTCACAAGCATTGGATCATCATGTTCTTGCGTTTTCAACCACTTGATCAGAAGGTCTTGGATTTCAGCAGTTCCTGCTTTCCCCTCTTTCCTCCCTTGAAGAGATTTATTTTGCAGTTCCCCCCTCCCCCATCCTGTTGCTACTGAGGGATCTGAAGCTCTTGTGTTTGATGTCAGGCGTTCGGTTTACCAGGTGGCATTCAAGTTCAGAGACAAAATGTACATTAAAATTTTGTTTCGGTTCCAAATTGTTCAAGTTTTGAGGCATTAGAATTCCGAGGCACCATTGTGCTCGTTTATGCCCCTCGGTTACTTGTTTATGATATAAAAGGTCAAGGCACCACTTCCAATATTTCAGTTTCTGTTGGGATTAGTCATTCCAATATTTGATTGCTGTCTAACCACATGTGTTCTCATTTTTGTTTTTCTCCTGAGACTGTTCCAGTGAGTATTCTGTGGAAAACCCAGCTGATGTTGGCTAACAACCATACTGTTGTGTACAATTGTATCATCTTTGTATGGCCGAGTGCACTATCTCATGATATTGGTACTTTAGTACTGTACTCAAGTATTTAGTATATTAGAACAGGGGGTAATGCACATAACTGTTATATTGATAAAATTAATATATTTTCCAGATTTGAAAACCAAGGCAAAGATAACTATTTGTTTGAGCTTGAGCAAATGCTATGCTACATTTTATGAGATATCCTTGGTCAAATATGGCTGGGCAGGTGAGAATGACAGACAGATGTTGTATTTAGTTCTTAATAACTTGACTATTTACTCGAAAGACTGAGTTTAAACTTGGGGTAATTCCAACTTTCAATCCTTCTTTAATTAATTAAGCAGCAATGGTGGAGCAATGATTAGTAAACTTACTTACCAACATGATTGTTCACATTCAGTCCCTAGTAGCAGCAGTATGTTTCAGTCAGTCTCACACCTCAAAGCATTACCTTTGCTATAATTGTTTGCAACAGAAAAACACAAGAAACTGATGTTTTGGTACACATAAGAATAGGGTGACCCAAGAATCGATGAATACATGGAATAAAGCTGATAGTGGACTTTAAAAAAAACTTTAAGGTACAATTAAAAGGATCATCCAAGAAGGTTTAGCCTTGTCTGCCAAAGAGAATGATAATCACTGGAGTTGAAGGTGTTCACAAAGTTGGTACTGTATCTGTTTCTACGTGTTCAAAGTAGAAAAATAATAGGACAACTAGAAAATACCTACACTGGAACCCACTGGTGGTAGACATAGAGAAAAACCTCAAACAAACAGATAAAAGAATTAGAAAGAGCAGTGAAAAATACAGAAGAGACATGAAGGCTGCTTCAGAAGATAACAGAGGATAGGACTGTTCGAAGTGAGTTGGTTGAAGACCTATGCTGCATTAATATAAGACCAGAAAAAATAGGAGAAGTAGAAACAGCAAGAACAATTTAGATACTTTGCTATATTGCAGTGAACATTTAAAAACATTGTTCTATTCCTGGACTGCAGCCGTAAAAATTGACTTAGGATGTTTTTTTTATTCAGATGCAATAAAATCAGATACCAAAAACCCTGTAAAAGCATATAGAACAGTAACATAGGGCCACCCTGCAAGTTACTTGCTGTCCAAAGTGGGTGGGTCTGTCTGGTTTAAGTTATATCATATATCTTGCTGAAAATATCAGCTTCTCTCTTTTTCTTTTATTCTGTCTTTAATTCTCTGGGAGAGTAACGTGAATTTGGCCATACTGTGCAGTGTGATGCCTGATTCAAATTACCTGGTGGTGATTAAGATTACAGATGTATTATCTTGCTGTTTGTGAGTGTAGATAGTTTGCACTAGTGACAGCACTAGAAACACAGCCATCACAGCTGTTACTGTGTGTTCACATCACTCTTGTAGTTCTCAGATATTTCACCACATATGTTCAAGTTGGTACAAAATCCACAGTAACAAACTTACTGTGCTGCTTATTTAAATATGAAACCAGATTTCCCGAGCGTTCTCAGACCAAATATAAAAGTAATAATGTGCTGTAAGAGTATCCAACACAAGCAGAGCAGAGAAAACTATTTTGGCCCATACCAGCATCTTTTGATGGCAAACTCCATTTTAGATGTCATGCTGTGATTGTAAAGAACCTTTCTGATGTCAAATGTACATCTGATGTAATGGTGCTAGATGCATTACTTTTATAGACTTGTAATGAGTTCTAAATGGGTGATGTGGTCAGCATGACAATCAACACTCAGTGGGTGATGTGGTCAGCTTGACAGTCTACACTCAGTGGTTGATGTGGTCAGCATGACAGTCAACACTCAGTGGGTGATGTGGTCAGCATGACAATCAACACTCAGTGGGTGATGTGGTCAGCATGACAGTCTACACTCAGTGGGTGATGTGGTCAGCATGACAGTCTACATTCAGTGGTTGATGTGGTCAGCTTGACAGTCTACACTCAGTGGGTGATGTGGTCAGCATGACAGTCTACACTCAGTGGGTGATGTGGTCAGCATGACAGTCAACACTCAGTGGGTGATGTGGTCAGCTTGTCAAACAACACTCAGTGGGTAATGTGGTCAGCATGACAGTCTGCACTCAGTGGGTGATGTGGTCAGCATGACAATCAACACTCAGTGGGTGATGTGGTCAGCTTGTCAAACAACACTCAGTGGGTGATGTGGTCAGCATAACAGTCAACACTCAGTGGGTGATGTGGTCAGCATTACAGTCAACACTCAGTGGGTGATGTGGTCAGCATGACAGTCTACACTCAGTGGGTGATGTGGTCAGCATGACAGTCAACACTCAGTGGGTGATGTGGTCAGCATGACAGTCTACGCTCAGTGGGTGATGTGGTCAGCATAACAGTCAACACTCAGTGGGTGATGTGGTCAGCTTGACAGTCTACACACAGTGGGTGATGTGGTCAGCATGACAGTCAACACACAGTGGGTGATGTGGTCAGCTTGACAGTCTACACATAGTGGGTGATGTGGTCAGCATGACAGTCTACACACAGTGGGTGATGTGGTCAGCATAACAGTCTACACTCAGTGGGGGATGTGGTCAGCATGACAGTCAACACTCAGTGGGTGATGTGGTCAGCATGACAGTCTACACTCAGTGGGTGTTGTGGTCAGCATGACAGTCTACACTCAGTGGGTGATGTGGTCAGCATGACAGTCTACACTCAGTGGGTGATGTGGTCAGCATGACAGTCAACACTCAGTGGGTGATGTGGTCAGCATGACAGTCAACACTCAGTGGGTGATGTGGTCAGCATGACAGTCTACACTCAGTGAGTGATGTGGTCAGCATGACAGTCTACACTCAGTGGGTGATGTGGTCAGCATGAAAGTCTACACTCAGTGGGTGATGTGGTCAGCATGACAGTCAACACTCAGTGGGTGATGTGGTCAGCATGACAGTCTACACTCAGTGGGTGATGTGGTCAGCATGACAGTCAACACTCAGTGGGTGATGTGGTCAGCATGACAGTCTACACTCAGTGGGCGATTTGGTCAGCATGACAGTCAACACTCAGTGGGTGATGTGGTCAGCATGACAGTCTACACTCAGTGGGTGATGTGGTCAGCATGACAGTCTACACTCAGTGGGTGATGTGGTCAGCATGACAGTCAACACTCAGTGGGTGATGTGGTCAGCTTGTCAAACAACACTCAGTGGGTAATGTGGTCAGCATGATAGTCTGCACTCAGTGGGTGATGTGGTCAGCATGACAATCAACACTCAGTGGGTGATGTGGTCAGCTTGTCAAACAACACTCAGTGGGTGATGTGGTCAGCATAACAGTCAACACTCAGTGGGTGATGTGGTCAGCATTACAGTCAACACTCAGTGGGTGATGTGGTCAGCATGACAGTCTACACTCAGTGGGTGATGTGGTCAGCATGACAGTCAACACTCAGTGGGTGATGTGGTCAGCATGACAGTCTACGCTCAGTGGGTGATGTGGTCAGCATAACAGTCAACACTCAGTGGGTGATGTGGTCAGCTTGACAGTCTACACACAGTGGGTGATGTGGTCAGCATGACAGTCAACACACAGTGGGTGATGTGGTCAGCTTGACAGTCTACACATAGTGGGTGATGTGGTCAGCATGACAGTCTACACACAGTGGGTGATGTGGTCAGCATAACAGTCTACACTCAGTGGGGGATGTGGTCAGCATGACAGTCAACACTCAGTGGGTGATGTGGTCAGCATGACAGTCTACACTCAGTGGGTGTTGTGGTCAGCATGACAGTCTACACTCAGTGGGTGATGTGGTCAGCATGACAGTCTACACTCAGTGGGTGATGTGGTCAGCATGACAGTCAACACTCAGTGGGTGATGTGGTCAGCATGACAGTCAACACTCAGTGGGTGATGTGGTCAGCATGACAGTCTACACTCAGTGAGTGATGTGGTCAGCATGACAGTCTACACTCAGTGGGTGATGTGGTCAGCATGAAAGTCTACACTCAGTGGGTGATGTGGTCAGCATGACAGTCAACACTCAGTGGGTGATGTGGTCAGCATGACAGTCTACACTCAGTGGGTGATGTGGTCAGCATGACAGTCAACACTCAGTGGGTGATGTGGTCAGCATGACAGTCTACACTCAGTGGGCGATGTGGTCAGCATGACAGTCAACACTCAGTGGGTGATGTGGTCAGCATGACAGTCTACACTCAGTGGGTGATTTGGTCAGCATTACAAACTACACTCAGTGGATGATATGCAGCATTACAATCAACATTCATGTGTGTGAAGAAGAAAATGTAAATATGAAAACAGGGTCACTGTGCATTGAATAAATGCTCTAAAATCAGACAAGGACATATGGGCATCAGCTTAGAAAAGACAGGAGTTAAATCATTGCATACATTTAAGGGTCATGGTTATGTGTTTGTTAGAACTGAGTTAAATCATTGCATACATTTAAGGGTCATGGTTATGTGTTTATTAGAACAGAGTTAAATCATTACATACATTTAAGGGTCATGGTTATGTGTTTGTTAGAACTGAGTTAAATCATTACATACATTTAAGTGTCATGGTTATGTGTTTGTTAGAACTGAGGTAAATCATTACGTACATTTAAGGGTCATGGTTATGTGTTTGGTAGAACAGAGTTAAATCATTACGTACATTTAAGGGTCATGGTTATGTGTTTGTTAGAACAGAGTTCAATCATCACATACATTTAAGGGTCATGGTTATGTGTTTGTTAGAACTGAGTTAAATCATTGCATACATTTAAGGATCATGGTTATATGTTTATTAGAACAGAGTTAAATCATTACATACATTTAAGGGTCATGGTTATGTGTTTGTTAGAACTGAGTTAAATCATTGCATACATTTAAGGGTCATGGTTATATGTTTGTTAGAACAGACAGAGTTCAATCAAAATACACAGTTAAGGTTAATGGTTATATGTTTGTTAGAACAGAGTTCAATCATCACATACATTTAAGGGTCATGGTTATGTGTTTGTTAGAACAGAGTTCAATCATTACATACATTTAAGGGTCATGGTTATATGTTTGTTAGAACAGACAGAGTTCAATCAAAATACACAGTTAAGGTTAATGGTTATATGTTTGTTAGAACAGAGTTCAATCATCACATACAGCTGAGGATCATGGTTTTATGTCTGCGTACTAATAAATCAGCTCTGTGAAACAGCTGTGCATGCGAAACTCATGTTCTGGAACAGGACAACAGTCCAGAAGTGGACGAACAACCATCAATTTCTGCTCAAGTTTACAAACACTAAAAAGAAGAAGTAAAGAGGACATAAATGCAGCAGTTATGTTCTAATACTGTAATAGCTGATAGTGTACAATGTAGACCAGTTGATGAGAATTGATTTGTTGTTCAGTTCCGCAGTTTCCAGTGGGACCCAGTGTTAATCATTGCTCAGATTGTTTCAATGGTGAGCCTGTGGTACTTTTCCCTGGGGATCTGGATCTTCATTCTGGATGTTATTGGAAAATTTGACTTGTCCACTGATCAGATTTTCACCCAGAGTGTATGTATCATGTCAGACTCATACTATTTGCTGTTTTAATGTGAAATACGAGGACATCATCATGAGCCATCCTAAGCATGACAATCATTCTTGTTTGCTCCACACCTGTCTGCCCTCTTGTTTTCTCCACACTTGTCTGCCGTCTTGTTTTCTCCACACCTGTCTGCCCTCTTGTTTTCTCCACACCTGACTGCCCTCTTGTTTTCTCCACACCTGACTGCCCTCTTGTTTTCTCCACACCTGTCTGCCCTCTTGTTTTCTCCACACTTGTCTGCCGTCTTGTTTTCTCCACACCTGTCTGCCCTCTTGTTTTCTCCACACCTGACTGCCCTCTTGTTTTCTCCACACCTGACTGCCCTCTTGTTTTCTCCACACCTGTCTGCCCTCTTGTTTTCTCCACACCTGCCTGCCCTCTTGTTTTCTCCACACCTGTCTGCCCTCTTGTTTTCTCCACACCTGACTGCCCTCTTGTTTTCTCCACACCTTTCTACCCTCTGTGTTATTTATACACCACCATTAATTGTTTCCACAGTCACTTAATCTAACCATCTTGAATGTTCTTCTTTTGTCGGCCTCTGTCTCTGAAACATTACATGGTGTTTGTTGTTACAACTTTTCCAGACCCCTTTGTCTCATAACGGGACCAAAAAATGACAGTTATGTACATTTTAAAAGTTGATAATTTCAGGGTATATTTGGTATGTGGATGAATTCACTAGAGAGGAGGAAACACTTTTGCTCTTCTGTCCTTTATCTCCCAATGTAATACAGGCCATCAGCCAACTCAGGTCTTCCTATCCTTTGCTATCACTTGCAGCTACATATCTTCCACATCTTTGTTCACTTCTGTCTGATTTCCTTCCCCGTATGTTGCTGGTCTGCCTTCATTTCTTACGTTCAAGTGCAGTGATATTCTATGTATATAGTTTTCTAGATTTCTCGATCCTGTGTCCCAGCCAGTACCAGCGTCAGCGTCTTTTCAACAATACTTGATTCTCTGGAATTTGTTTATTCTCCATGAAAACTCTGTTTACGTGATTCTGCCATACATGTTTAATTCTCTATTCTGTGCACGCAGCATTTCATGAACATTTCTAGTTTTTTAGTAATTGCTTTAGGTGTCCATGTTGCAGATCCATACAGCAGTAGTGATTTGACATTATAAGAAAACATTTTAGGTTTGGTACCCATTTTAATTTCTGTTGGCTTTCACAGATATGTTAGAAACAACACTAATCATGTTAAATACATAGAGGGGATCATAAAATAGGGCTACAGATTGTCAAGGTAGATATATATATTTATGTAAATGAGATTAAATCATCAACAGATTGGGACACAATTTTGCTGATCCAGACAGTTTAAGCTATGTTTGTGTGTTGTAGACTATAACTGACCAGTGTTTGTGTGTTGTAGACTATAGCTGACTACTGTTTGTGTGTTGTAAACTACAACTGACCAATGCTTGTGTGTTGTAGACTACAACTGACCAGTGTTTGTGTTTTGTAGAGTACACCTGACCAGTGTTTGTGTGTTGTAGACTACAACTGACCAGTGTTTGTGTGTTGTAGACTACAACTGACCAGTGTTTGTGTGTTGTAGAGTACAACTGACCAGTGTTTGTGTGTTGTAGAGTACAACTGACCAGTGTTTGTGTGTTGTAGACTATAGCTGACTACTGTTTGTGTGTTGTAAACTACAACTGACCAATGCTTGTGTGTTGTAGACTACAACTGACCAGTGTTTGTGTGTTGTAGAGTACACCTGACCAGTGTTTGTGTGTTGTAGACTACAACTGACCAGTGTTTGTGTGTTGTAGACTACAACTGACCAGTGTTTGTGTGTTGTAGAGTACAACTGACCAGTGTTTGTGTGTTGTAGAGTACAGCTGACCAGTGTTTGTGTGTTGTAGACTAGAACTGACCAGTGTTTGTGTGTTGTAGACTAGAACTGACCAGTGTTTGTGTGTTGTAGACTACAACTGACCAATGCTTGTATGTTGTAGACTACAACTGACCAATACTTGTGTGTTGTAGTCTACAACTGACCAACCAGTGTTTGTTGTTGTGTAGACTACAGCTGACCAGTGTTTGTGTGTTGTACCCTATTGTTGACTAATGTCACACACAACCATCGATTATTTTTGCATTTCAGGATCTTGGTCTGTATGAAGACTCAGGTCGAACAAATATTATTGCTTATGCTCTCAACAGTATAACTGTGTAAGTATCCTTTGATAACTTCTAGTGTAAGTATCCTTTGATAATTTCTAGTGTTAGTAGCCTTTGATAACTTCTAGAAGCTAATATAGAAGGTTAAGTTGTGTTTTCATGAGCTTATCACTTCTGTACCTCTCTCTAACAAAGGTGATCTTATCTCGTCTGTAAGAAACTCACCAACACACAGTGACAAGCTGCCCCTCTCCAGTATTGACTGACGTGTGCTCATTAGCTCCATTTTTTTTGGCTGACCTTCACTGCAAACTTGTTTCCGTAGTGATTTTCCACACTTTTTACCCTCATTTCAAGCCAACACCTCTTCTGCCCTCCATTGCAGCACTGGCTCTCAACCAAGTCCTCTTACTCTTTGCTATCACATGCTGCTCACGCCATGTTCTCCTTGTCTTTTTAACTTCACATTCTAGTTCCATTCCCATGTGTTTTTGGTGTGCCTTTATTAATTTGACCCTGTCGGTGCACTGATATACTGATTATATTGTTAGCAGGTTTTCTCAGCGAGAGTCCTTGATTCGCTGGAGTTTAAACCAGCGCTGTAAGGTTTATGTTGTGGGTTCATTCCATTGGTTGACCCTTTGATAAAGGGGCAAACCAACAGTTTTCACTGGCCACTGAAGCCAAATAAAGGATCATAGTTACTAAAACATTATACTGAATATTACTAGGTGTGTTTGGGTTATCCTCATTGCACTCCGGACATGTCCATAGGTGCTCAGATCCTCCCCTCAGTATTAACCCTAACGTCCGATGGCTAATAGTACCAGTTCTATGTTGATTAACAAGTCTTCTGGCGTAGCTGGTGTGCGCCTCGTTTTTTGCTGTGCCGATCTTAATTCCAAAGTCTGCCATTGTGGCGAGTGATGTGGATTCACTGCCACCAAAGTCCTCTATTCTTCCCATTTCTCTGAGGGCATTGATAATATCAGCATGATCCATAGGCTGACCGTCGGTAGTAGGTAAGTGTGTTTGGCAGTCAATGCACAAGGTGGCAGGTAGGTGTGTTTGGCAGTCATTGCCCAAGGTGGCAGGAAGGTGTGTTTGGCAGTCATTGCCCAAGGTGGCAGGAAGGTGTGTTTGGCAGTCATTGCCCAAGGTGGCAGGTAGGTGTGTTTGGCAGTCATTGCCCAAGGTGGCAGGTAGGTGTGTTTGGCAGTCATTGCCCAAGGTGGCAGGAAGGTGTGTTTTTGGCAGTCATTGCCCAAGGTGGCAGGTAGGTGTGTTTGGCAGTCATTGCCCAAGGTGGCAGGTAGGTGTGTTTGGCAGTCATTGCCCAAGGTGGCAGGAAGGTGTGTTTGGCAGTCATTGCCCAAGGTGGCAGGAAGGTGTGTTTGGCAGTCATTGCCCAAGGTGGCAGGAAGGTGTGTTTGGCAGTCATTGCCCAAGGTGGCAGGAAGGTGTGTTTGGCAGTCATTGCCCAAGGTGGCAGGTAGGTGTGTTTGGCAGTCATTGCCCAACGTGGCAGGAAGGTGTGTTTGGCAGTCATTGCCCGAGGTGGCAGGAAGGTGTGTTTGGCAGTCATTGCCCAAGGTGGCAGGTAGGTGTGTTTGGCAGTCATTGCCCAACGTGGCAGGTAGGTGTGTTTGGCAGTCATTGCCCGAGGTGGCAGGTAGGTGTGTTTGGCAATCATTGCCCAACGTGGCAGGTAGGTGTGTTTGGCAGTCATTGCCCAAAGTGACAGGTAAGTGTGTTTGGCAGTCAATGCACAAGGTGGCGGGTAGGTGTGTTTGGCAGTCATTGCCCAAGGTGACAGGTAGGTGTGTTTGGCAGTCATTGCCCAACGTGGCAGGTAGGTGTGTTTGGCAGTCATTGCCCAAAGTGACAGGTAAGTGTGTTTGGCAGTCAATGCACAAGGTGGCGGGTAGGTGTGTTTGGCAGTCATTGCCCAAGGTGACAGGTAGGTGTGTTTGGCAGTCATTGCCCAAGGTGACAGGAAGGTGTGTTTGGCAATCATTGCCCAACGTGGCAGGTAGGTGTGTTTGGCAGTCATTGCCCAAAGTGACAGGTAAGTGTGTTTGGCAGTCAATGCACAAGGTGGCAGGTAGGTGTGTTTGGCAGTCATTGCCCGAGGTGGCAGGTAGGTGTGTTTGGCAGTCATTGCCCAAAGTGACAGGTAAGTGTGTTTGGCAGTCATTGCCCAAAGTGACAGGTAAGTGTGTTTGGCAGTCATTGCCCAAGGTGGCAGGAAGGTGTGATTTGGCAATCATTGCCCAACGTGGCAGGAAGGTGTGTTTGGCAGTCATTGCCCAAGGTGGCAGGTAGGTGTGTTTGGCAGTCATTGCCCAAGGTGGCAGGTAGGTGTGTTTGGCAGTCATTGCCCAAAGTGACAGGTAAGTGTGTTTGGCAGTCATTGCCCAAGGTGGCAGGAAGGTGTGTTTGGCAGTCATTGCCCAAGGTGGCAGGAAGGTGTGTTTGGCAGTCATTGCCCAAAGTGACAGGTAAGTGTGTTTGGCAGTCATTGCCCAAAGTGACAGGTAAGTGTATTTGGCAGTCATTGCCCAAGGTGGCAGGTAGGTGTGTTTGGCAGTCATTGCCCAAAGTGACAGGTAGGTGTGTTTGGCAGTCATTGCCCAAGGTGGCAGGTAGGTGTGTTTGGCAGTCATTGCCCAAGGTGGCAGGTAGGTGTGTTTGGCAGTCATTGCCCAAAGTGACAGGTAAGTGTGTTTGGCAGTCATTGCCCAAGGTGGCAGGAAGGTGTGTTTGGCAGTCATTGCCCAAGGTGACAGGTAAGTGTGTTTGGCAGTCATTGCCCAAAGTGACAGGTAAGTGTGTTTGGCAGTCATTGCCCAAGGTGGCAGGAAGGTGTGTTTGGCAGTCATTGCCCAAGGTGGCAGGAAGGTGTGTTTGGCAGTCATTGCCCAAGGTGGCAGGAAGGTGTGTTTGGCAGTCATTGCCCAAGGTGGCAGGAAGGTGTGTTTGGCAGTCATTGCCCAAGGTGGCAGGTAGGTGTGTTTGGCAGTCATTGCCCAAGGTGGCAGGAAGGTGTGTTTGGCAGTCATTGCCCAAGGTGGCAGGTAGGTGTGTTTGGCAGTCATTGCCCAAGGTGGCAGGTAGGTGTGTTTGGCAGTCATTGCCCAAGGTGACAGGAAGGTGTGTTTGGCAGTCATTGCCCAAGGTGGCAGGAAGGTGTGTTTGGCAGTCATTGCCCAAGGTGGCAGGAAGGTGTGTTTGGCAGTCATTGCCCAAGGTGGCAGGAAGGTGTGTTTGGCAGTCATTGCCCAAGGTGGCAGGTAGGTGTGTTTGGCAGTCATTGCCCAAGGTGGCAGGAAGGTGTGTTTGGCAGTCATTGCCCAAGGTGGCAGGTAGGTGTGTTTGGCAGTCATTGCCCAAGGTGGCAGGTAGGTGTGTTTGGCAGTCATTGCCCAAGGTGGCAGGTAGGTGTGTTTGGCAGTCATTGCCCAAGGTGGCAGGTAGGTGTGTTTGGCAGTCATTGCCCAAGGTGGCAGGAAGGTGTGTTTGGCAGTCATTGCCCAAGGTGGCAGGTAGGTGTGTTTGGCAGTCATTGCCCAAGGTGGCAGGTAGGTGTGTTTGGCAGTCATTGCCCAAGGTGGCAGGTAGGTGTGTTTGGCAGTCATTGCCTAAGGTGGCAGGTAGGTGTGTTTGGCAGTCATTGCACAAAGTGGCGGTGAATGGGAATGAAGAAATGACGGATCTGATTAAATATAACAGCCTCAGTCAATTAGGTGCTGTTTCCACAATGAAGGGTGGCTGCAGTGGATCTCCAGCAGGTTTTGTCTCTTGTCCTGGTTGTATCTCCTGAGACTGCTGTTTGACCATCTGTACATGTTATCCTCCTCCTTGTATCACTGTCTTCCTCTTAACGTTCCCTCCATTTTTATAAAAGCGTTGTCTTTTATTATAACAGGAATATTTTTATATTTGTTTTCAACCTTCTGTATTTGATATGTTTTTGTTTCCATGAAAGAGCCAATTCTGCTGCATTTTTCACACCTCCAGAAACTCACTTGGACTTTCTGATGGCTTTTTCATTGTCCAGTTCTCTAGGAAAGTTTTGTTCAACCTGTGAGCCACCAAAGAATTCAGCTTAATCATAAAATGAAGTAGGGTAGGTGGTTATTCTCTTCCAGAGATTACCAACTCAGGGACTTCATATTTGTGTGAAAGATTTTCTCAGGTGTGTCAGTAATTAAAACCAAACGGGGAAATCAAAATTAATGTTATTGTAGCGCTTCATATATAAGAAACAACGCTCCAAGCACACCAGATTTTCAAACCTCTAAGCAGCAGATGTTGCATTAGCTGAAAATTTTAATTTTTTTTACACTGAACTTGAGAAATTAACTGCTATCTACATTTGTTTTTGTTTCATGTTTGGCTAGCTGTCAGATGGGCAGCGAAACAATGTCTGCTGTTTGGTGGGCCGTAGGTGTAAAAATGTGGCTAGCTGTCAGATGGGCAGCGAAACAATGTCTGCTGTTTGATGGGCCGTAGGTGTAAAAATGTGGTTAGCTGTCAGATGGGCAGCGAAACAATGTCTGCTGTTTGGTGGGCCGTAGGTGTAAAATGGTGTTTAGAATAAACATGCTCTGTGTTAGGTTACTGACAGGTACCAATGTCACTGCATTAAAAATAACAATTACAAGATGGAATTGGGGGGACTGCTAACCCTACTGTTCCTCCTCCCCCCCCCCCCCCCCCCTCCCAAAGGGGATGCATTTTATAAAAAGAATGTTTCCTATGTGTTTTGGGGAAAACAAAATAGACAACTGCCCTCGCAACAAGCATGTCGTAGGAGTCGACTAATTGGGGGCTTCCTTCAAAGTCGGAGTGCCTCTGCTCGAGTGGCTAGGAACAAACAACTGCACACAAACAAGCCAGTAAAATGGATGTGCACGCAAAACTCGGGCTCTGGCACAAAGAAAAAGTCCAGATAGACGAACAACCAGGTCTTTCCGCCGAGCTGGAGCTTACAGCCGGTGAACAAAGAAGAAGAAAAGAAATCAGCAGCGCCAGAAGATTAGAGAACAGAGCAGCTCAGTCATACATAAGTCTGACATCAGTGCAGGAATTGTGGCTGCAAGATCACCCACATAAATGAAACCAACCCTACATTCAGAAGAGCTTACAAATGATACATAGTGTATTGTTTGTCAGCGGGTCTGTGTGGGTTTATTTCATATTGTATTGTTTGTCAGCGGGTCTGTGTGGGTTTATTTCACAGTCTGTGTGGGTTTATTTCATATTGTATTGTTTGTCAGCGGGTCTGTGTGGGTTTATTTCATAGTGTATTGTTTGTCAGCGGGTCTGTGTGGGTTTATTTCATAGTGTATTGTTTGTCAGCGGGTCTGTGTGGGTTTATTTCATAGTGTATTGTTTGTCAGCGGGTCTGTGTGGGTTTATTTCATATTGTATTGTTTGTCAGCGGGTCTGTGTGGGTTTATTTCATATTGTATTGTTTGTCAGCGGGTCTGTGTGGGTTTATTTCACAGTCTGTGTGGGTTTATTTCACAGTCTGTGTGGGTTTATTTCATATTGTATTGTTTGTCAGCGGGTCTGTGTGGGTTTATTTCATAGTGTATTGTTTGTCAGCGGGTCTGTGTGGGTTTATTTCATAGTGTATTGTTTGTCAGCGGGTCTGTGTGGGTTTATTTCATAGTGTATTGTTTGTCAGCGGGTCTGTGTGGGTTTATTTCACAGTCTGTGTGGGTTTTTTTCACAGTCTGTGTGGGTTTATTTCACAGTCTGTGTCCTTTGGTTTATTATTAGTTTTTAAGGAGATGCTTGGGGATCTTCATTGGTGCTACGAAGGTTGTTCTTTGGTTACACTCTGTGCAGGTGAGAGTGAAAAACTGAGCCATATGGGAGAAAGCCTGGTAGGATGAGTTCAATATTCTAGGCTCTAAACTTTAAAACACAATTTATTTAGTTTCTTCTACTTTTGGCATGCATTTAAATATAAATTATTGCTGTGCTACTTTCAGATCATTCCTTATGTGGGGCATAGTTGGCAGAACCAAACAGTGCTTGGACTTTGCAGCCACCATACACATGTTCCACTTCTTTGCTTGCTGGTATTCTTACGGCTACGTCCCCATTACCTTCTGGTGGTGGGTGACAAATGTAGCCTGTGTGGCCTTGACCACTGTCATGGCCGAGTACCTGTGCATGCAGTCAGAGATGAAAGCTATCCCCGTGGGGATGGGACCTAAAGTTGATTTATAGAATGATTACCTGAACTTTGTGTGTGTGTGTGGGGAAGGGGGGGGGGGGCTTTCATCATGTGGGTCTTATACCCAAATATGGTGTATAAATGTAAATTTTATGAGGATAACACACTAGCCATGTTAGTTTCTCTAAACTCAGAAGTGCCCAGATTTGAGATTGGTTAATGATACTGCTTGGAAGTGAGATGCTTGAAAAAGGCTGCAGAAAAGGTACAGGTCAGGAAAAGAGAAAAGGTTGACACAGCTCCAGTACTAAACTACATAGTGACAGCACTTGAAAAGAATGCTTGTGATGCCACACAACACAAGGTATACACCAACAGAAGAGAGAGGCGTAGAGCCCGAGGGAGACAGATGGAAAGATAACATGAGAAAAACTTTATGACAGTTTGCTGTGTCGGTTGTTGAAGCAGCCAGAAGAGCAAGAGCCAAATTCTGTTATTTCCTTTGATACCCAAATGGTATCAGAGAAAGTGAAGAAAAGCAAGATGCTGATGCTAGCACCAACCTTAACAGAATCTGCCTTAGGAATGTATAAGGAAGGTCTTCACCTTTATAGGGACTAGCTGCTTCCTTCTCAGACAAAGAAACCCCATATCCAGTGTCAGTTTTACAAGGTTGCAACAACCCTGAATTCAAACTAGCTGAGAAAACACTGCTAGTTTGAGGACTGAACACTGTATTGGTAAATGGATGCGCTCACCACAACAGCTCCTGATATAGAAGATGAGTTGAAACTTCCAGATTTTGTGTGTGTGTGTGATTTATATTAGAGATGTTTCTTTATTTTTGTTTTATAACAGCTAATGTTTACTGACAGCGGTTGAATGAATTTATGTCTTGATTATAAGATATGCGCCATGCACATGAGATAGCTGTTGAGTATGTTTTGCTATCTTACACATTCTTGACACTTTTATTGTCTCTATCAGATGTTCACATTGTGGATCACATTGTTTGTTTTCCTCCCTCATGCTGTGGTGTACGACCCAGTAATGCACTGGCTGGTATGTTTGCCTACCAGCCCAGTAGTCATGTGCTCAGACCACCTTTATAGTCAGGATATTAGTGTCATGGACTCCTAACTTTTACAAATGAATGCCAGGAAATGTCCAGGGAAAGTAACACTAGCCAGTATGATACTGACCACATCACTGATCTTAGTGCTGGTTAGTTTTAAAAAAAACAGGGCTGACATCATATACTTGGCATGGAAATGGGTCCTTTACATTTAGTAGTTGTTCTTGGATACCCTTCTTTCTTTTTGTCTTAGGTCCCTGGAGAAAAAGCCTCAGTTGTAGTTTCCATTGTTAAACCCTGCCAGAGCTTGGACTGTCATGTTTTACTATAAATGTGGAGATGGCCAAAGACTGATAGAGGTTTCAACATTGTCACACACTGTTAGGGGTATGAACGACACTGTCACACACTTTTAGGGCTATGAATAACATTGTCACACACTGTTAGGGATATGAACAACATTGTCACACACTGTTAGGGTATGAACGACATTGTCACACACTGTTAGGGTATGAACGACATTGTCACACACTGTTAGGGATATGAACAACATTGTCACACACTGTTAGGGTTATGAACGACATTGTCACACACTGTTAGGGATATGAACAACATTGTCACACACTGTTAGGGATATGAACAACATTGTCACACACTGTTAGGGATATGAACGACATTGTCACACACTGTTAGGGTATGAACGACACTATCACACACTTTTAGGGTATGAACGACACTATCACACACTTTTAGGGGTATGAACAAAATTGTCACACACTGTTAGAGGTATGAATAACATTGTCACACACTGTCAGGAATATGAACAACACTGTCACACACTGTCAGGAATATGAACAACACTGTCAGGGGTATGAACTTTGCCACATTCTGACAGAGATATGAAAACTGTCACATCCTGCAATAGATTACCATTGTGTTAACATCTGGGCATAATATACCATCATCTGTTGATTGCCATTGTACTCTGTCTACAGAATTACAATTTGTGGCACATTGTAAATAATACTTGAAAATAAAGTGTTGTTGGTGTATCCAGTATCTTAACATTTGTCTGCTGTGTGTGTAACTGAACAGTCTATCTAACATAAATGGCCATGTGTGAACATTTGGGGCCACTGTTGATACCAATATTTCCTCAGTGTCATATTTTCAGAATGATTTACTTGCATTTAAGTACAAACTCAGGTTGTTTGTTTTATAAAATATAATAATCAACAACTATATTTGTACCCACTACAGCTAAAATTAAGTGTGGACATTTGATCCTTAAAGCCACTTTCATCCTGACTTGAGGTGGAATTCCAACATAGGACGATTAGGACAAATGCACTTGCTACTGCATCAGCACTTGATTCTATTAATTTTCAACAGTTGTACTTTTTGAGGGTTGATTCAGAATTAGACTCCATCTTTGGCCACATTTTGGAAAGATTACACTACCAGAGAGCTGAACCCCCTACACTTCTCCAGCAAAATGTACTGTAAAAGCAAATAAAGATGAAGTTTTTAGCAACCCGCTGTCTGTTTAAATCCATCCAAAATCGAGGCTTAGATAGGTTTTGTGACGAGGAAGTTTTACTAAGGTGCAAAGATGCAAACAGCGGGGAATGGAGAGTGAGAAGCAACAACAAAATTCAAAATGTGTTTAAATCACGATTGATCACTGGCATCATGAGAGAGCTAATACACTGAAATGGCTGGGGCATATTGAGAGAATGTCAGATGACAGAGAAGTGAAAACTATACACAAGGGAGATCAATGGTCGTAGACCACAAGGCAGACCAAGAAGACGATGGAGAGATAATGTCCAGACAGACCTGCAAACACTTGGTGTCATCAACAAGTAAGAGAAGGCCAACCAGACAGATAAATGGACGCGGGTGATATCTGCAGCAATGAACCTCAAGAGCTCAGAATGCTGGAGAAGAAGTTTACCAACCCATATAGGCAGAAGTATATCTTAGGGTATGAACAAAGGCTTCAGTAATTTTCTAGTAAACACAACTAGTCACAACTATAAATAAAATCTTTCTACTTCTTTCTATGAGTTCCAATCAATACACTTTCTGTTACTTGATTAATTCAGAACTAGTCACATGTGTAGGACTGTTGAGAAGCTTTCTTGCTCAGTCAACTACTGCCTGCATGCGTTGTTTCACAGTGTTGTCTACAAGCCACAGTTTGGGCCATCCAGGCTGGATCAGCAAGAACTCATTTTATACTAGGTTGTCACCACTAACAGTGATATGATAGTTATTTTGTGTTTATAGTATGTCAGGTGGCTGACACATCAACAGTAATAAACATTTGCAATTGTATGAGTTCACTGAAGAACCAATGATTCCTGCAGCAACAGTGCCAATACTGGTCATTTCTATAGACATCATCCATTCTACATTCTTGTCCTACAGCAAACAACACTGGTGATACCAGGACTCCTGTTTTTTATATTGTGGTTGACATCATGAGATATGAACAATATAAACAAAACCAAATTCAGTACTATGATGTGGTATATAAAACTGTACCTAAAATAGGTGAGATTTTGCTGAGGTGCAACCAAAACATAAGATTACTTGTTGTACAAAAGAGACTTTCTAATACAGACTCCTTACAGTTTTCAGGGAGATTCACAGAGTGCTGGAGAAAGTCTGTGAATTATATATTTCTGGTATTATTATTGGTGTGTATGTGTCAGGCATTTACACACACACTGTTGATGATATAAAACAATCTCTGGTGATGTGATTATCTCCTGTCTATCTTTGACTCTTTGAGTTGCCCCAGCAACAGATGGCAATGTTGAAAAGAGTTATGAACATAAAGACATTGGACAGTAATGCATCAGTAGCAAGATTGACTTTGGTTTTTGATTGATAGGACACAAGATAATTTTATGGAACAGTTTAAGATCAGCTGGCATGAAGAAACATGCATCAGAAATGATTAGTCTAATGCAGTTCTGCAGATTATGAATTAAAAAACAAAAAAAAGGGATAACTGATACAGAATGGTGTCTTCCACAACTCACTTTAAGGTAACATTATCAGGTGGGTGACCACAAGGGACCTTTTTTAAACCTTCAGATCCACTATACCACACAACCTCTTTTGTAACCATAGCAGTGTATCAGTGTCTTGAACAACCACATGTTGCTTCTCACATGCTAGAGTATGGTACATATGGTGCTTCACTTGGCACAGAAAGAGTTCAATGTTTAGTGGCATCAGCATGGTATCCATGTTATAACAGTGAAGCCATTTAATTAACGTACCATGCATCAATAGTCATTCTATTAATCAACATTAATTAAAAACTTGAAACCTGCCTCAGTTTGAAAATGAAATTAATTATATTATTCAACATAATGTAAACATATGGGTTTAAGTGAAACAACATATTTCAAGAATACCTTATTTAATTGCATGACACTAAAAGATTCACTGTGTAAAATGTGGTATACTGTAAGCTAATCACTCTTCAGTGGTTAAAATCAGATCAACATACATGACAAAACAATAATGTACGTACTTCAAAATGACTAAACAGATTTAGCTTTCATACACTAACATATGTATTAAATTAAGCTGTTGCCTATCTACTGAAGCCTAATAATTCAGCCTATATAATTCCATCCCCAAGGAAACAAATACATTTAACAGTCTGACTCAGTAAAGTGCTCACTTTTAACAATGCCATCTCAGACTATATGTCCAGCTACTTTTTTGTAATGGTCATTGTTCAGTATGTCTGTCTGCATTTGTTGTCAGGGCGGGCACACAACACACTTCAACATGTTCCTACTGCACTAGTTTGAGGGAAGACTAAAACCTGACAACTACCTCTACTGGACTATTTTATGAAGACTTCATCATAGACATATTTCTATTGTACTTGTTTAGGAAGACACTCCGAGCCTGAACATCTTCTACTGAACAATTTTAATAACACAACACTTTATAATGTTTTAATACTGATAGTGTACGATTTATTTAGCACGTAATGATGGCTTAAATATCAGAAAACATCACAGTAATGCAGACTGGAATATACACAACACCTAAATGAAACATACAAGTGATAGACTGATAATAGTTTTACACAAAGGCAGGAGAATAAAGTTACAACAACATATTAATCAATGTTACAGAGAGAAGGAAGAATGTTCTTCCTGCCCCCCAATGTACACTGGAATGGATTTTTTTTAACAAGCCAACAACATAAGCCACATCAAGATCTGCAAGCCTAGTTTTGTGTTTCAACATTGTTTGTTTAAATGCCACACACATAAAAATACAGCACTAAGATTTAGCAATTCCACAATTATGCCATTAATACAAAACAAATACAATACTGATTGTGCAGTTCCCTTAAGAGAACAGATAGACAACATGAAATAAACCATGATTAAACCAAAACTAACGGATAAAAAGAAAGGTTGCTTAATGTGAATCAAGTGAACCGACATATTTTTCATAGGCTTCTTCTGTCATCAAATTGTCAGTTTTTGTATCTGGGTGCAGATCAATCTTGTACAGCCAACCTGTTGATGACAGAAACTGTAACATGTTAAATCTAACTAGAAAATGTATGCTCAGTAAAAGATAGCAACCTGTTTGAGATAGAAACTGTAACACGTCAAATCTAACTAGAGAATTATGCTCAGTAAAAGATAGCACTATAATCGTAATAATGCATTAACGAGACCATGTAAACATGCACAAGATAAAAATAATTTCAAATGAATCTTTTTCTATACATTTCCCTGCCATACTAATGTACCAACATCACCTTTACGAGGTAGAGTTTATATTTTTTTTTTTTTGCTTTTTCTCTGCAGGATTTTAACTAACCCATTTTGTTGTACTGAATGCACTTTTCACCGAATGACAGGCTGCATTATTGTAGCCAGGACGTGAATGACAGACTGCATTACTGTAGTCAGGACATTAATGACAGGCTGCATTACTGTAGTCAGGACGTTAATGACAGGCTGCATTACTGTAGCCAGGATGTGAATGACAGGCTGCATTACTGTAGCCAGGACGTGAATGACAGGCTGCATTATTGTAGTCAGGATGTTAATGACAGGCTGCATTACTGTAGCCAGGACGTGAATGACAGGCTGCATTATTGTAGTCAGGATGTTAATGACAGGCTGCATTACTGTAGCCAGGACGTGAATGACAGGCTGCATTATTGTAGTCAGGATGTGAATGACAGGCTGCATTACTGTAGCCAGGACAAGAATGACAGGCTGCATTACTGTAGTCAGGATGTTAATGACAGGCTGCATTATTGTAGTCAGGATGTTAATGACAGGCTGCATTATTGTAGCCAGGACGTGAATGACAGGCTGCATTACTGTAGCCAGGACGTGAATGACAGGCTGTATTACTTTAGCCAGGACGTGAATGACAGGCTGCATTACTGTAGCCAGGACGTGAATGACAGGCTGCATTACTGTAGTCAGGACGTGAATGACAGGCTGCATTACTGTAGTCAGGATATTAATGACAGGCTGCATTACTGTAGCCAGGATGTTAATGACAGGCTGCATTACTGTAGTCAGGATGTTAATGACAGGCTGCATTACTGTAGCCAGGACGTGAATGACAGGCTGCATTACTGTTGTCAGGATGTTAATGACAGGCTGCATTACTGTAGCCAGGATGTTAATGACAGGTTGCATTACTGTAGTCAGGATGTTAATGACAGGCTGCATTACTGTAGCCAGGACATGAATGACAGGCTGCATTACTGTAGCCAGGACGTGAATGACAGCTTGCATTACTGTAGCCAGGACGTGAATGACAGGCTGCATTACTGTAGTCAGGACATTAATGACAGGCTGCATTACTGTAGTCAGGACGTGAATGACTGGCTGCATTACTGTAGCCAGGACGTGAATGACAGGCTGCATTACTGTAGTCAGGACGTGAATGACAGGCTGCATTGCTGTAGTCAGGACGTTAATGACAGGCTGCATTACTGTAGCCAGGATGTTAATGACAGGCTGCATTACTGTAGCCAGGACGTGAATGACAGGCTGCATTACTGTAGTCAGGATGTTAATGACAGGCTGCATTACTGTAGTCAGGATGTTAATGACAGGCTGCATTACTGTAGCCAGGACGTGAATGACAGGCTACATTACTGTAGCCAGGACGTGAATGACAGGCTGCATTACTGTAGCCAGGATGTGAATGACAGGCTGCATTACTGTAGTCAGGATGTTAATGACAGGCTGCATTACTGTAGCCAGGACGTGAATGACAGGCTGCATTACTTTAGTCAGGATGTTAATGACAGGCTGCATTACTGTAGTCAGGACGTGAATGACAGGCTGCATTACTGTAGCCAGGACGTAAATGACAGGCTGCATTACTGTAGTCAGGATGTTAATGACAGGCTGCATTACTGTAGTCAGGACGTGAATGACAGGCTGCATTACTGTAGTCAGGATGTTAATGACAGGCTGCATTACTGTAGTCAGGATGTGGATGACAGGCTGCATTACTGTAGTCAGGATGTTAATGACAGGCTGCATTACTGTAGTCAGGATGTTAATGACAGGCTGCATTACTGTAGTCAGGATGTTAATGACAGGCTGCATTACTGTAGTCAGGATTTTAATGACAGGCTGCATTACTGTAGCCAGGATGTGAATGACAGGCTGCATTACTGTACTCAGGACGTTAATGACAGGCTGCATTTCTGTAGTCAGGATGTTAATGACAGGCTGCATTACTGTAGTCAGGACGTGAATGACAGGCTGCATTACTGTAGTCAGGACGTGGATGACAGGATGCATTACTGTAGTCAGGATGTGGATGACAGGCTGCATTACTGTAGTCAGGACGTGAATGACAGGCTGCGTTACTGTAGTCAGGATGTTAATGACAGGCTGCATTACTGTAGCCAGGACGTGAATGACAGGCTGCATTACTGTAGCCAGGATGTGGATGACAGGCTGCATTACTGTAGCCAGGATGTGAATGACAGGCTGCATTACTGTAGTCAGCAAGTAAATGAACACAGAACAAACTCTGGAAAGCTTAGCAAAGAGAACAGAACAAATGTGCACAAATACAACCACAGTTTTCACAAAACTCTAGGTAGGAAGCAGAGTGCCCATACTGGTCAAGATCTACTTACACTGCTATGTGGTCATCCTAGAAACAGGTTCCCAACCTTTGACCTGACCACTGTAGAGGGGAAGTCAAAAGTGCATCTGAGAGGTAAAGAACTGACATTATGCACATCTGTTTTGCAAATCTGGCTTATTGGCCAAACATGTAAAATTGATGTGCAAGCAAGAGTCACCATAGAATTAGCAGCACCCAAAAGTGGACCTTCCGCCATAATTTACAGCAGTGTCAAAGTGTTATCTGCATATGAAAAGTGAACAATAAGCAGACAAGCCAAAAAATAATTACTTGTGGCCGAGATGTGGTTTCTGAAAAGAATGCAAAGAATATCATGAAAGGATAGAAAAACAAACAGCAATCCTCACCGAGACAGCTGAAAATCATAAACTTAGAAAAAACTAGACGCAGTCAATTTTTTGGGGATTTTTATGAGAAGGAAGAAACTCAAAAACTTGGTTAACAACTGGTAAGATGGACAGAGAGCAAGAAGAGACAAAGAGATGAATACATGGATGGCCTGGCCTGGCCAGCGGATGCCGCGCAACAAAAACACTGAACTGATCTGAGATTTTGGTGATCATGTGAGATCCCCTTCCTCCCCCTTTACCTTATACTCCAAAAGGTCTTCCTGTACCGTTTTCACATTCCTTTCTAAGCGACCTAATTTGTTTGTTGTGGCTTATGATATATAGTCTTACTCGCTGATACAGATTTTGGAGAAAACATTTAGTTGTATCTGTGCACGTTTTCATTTGCCTCCATCGAGCTTCCAGGTCATAGTCTGTGTCATGTTAAGTTACTTCTTGATATCAGCTTAACTAAGTCAGCCCTTTTTTCCACATCACTATGTGCTGACACATTTCGCTGCATAAGGAAATCGTGTGTGTGCCAGAACAAAGGGGTCTTGCACAAGCCAGCACAATGGTGTGTGTATACGTACAATAAACATAGGACAGACACTAGAGATAAGACACATTTGTCACTACTGGTCCAAGAGATAAGGCAGTTTATGGATAACAAGGTCAGCTATGCTTACAGAAGTCAAAAATTGAAGAGAGACGGTTGACCCCATCCTATATCACAACTACAATCTACACATGGCCTGTTGCCCGCTCTCTAGCGTAGTTGGCTGAACCGGATTGCGCGGTGAGCGGATGACGAACTCCTTGTGGTCCGGGTTCACTCCCAGGGGTAGGCAGAAAAGCCACATTTTCTCCCAGATTTATGGTATTATAATGGAATCAAGGCCGAAAGGTTGCGATATCCATAATACTGAGCCTAAGGGTTAACAACTCATGGCTTCTGGATACTAAAACAAACACATGGCCTGTTTCACATCTAGTGTAAAAAACCTGGCCCTGCTTGTCAACAATGGAGCTGTGGTAGCACAGTGGCTAGATACCTGCCTGCCTGCCCAAACATTTTTAGTTTGCACCTAGGCAGATGTTTCTAATGTACTTGAGCTCCTAGATCAAAAATGGGCACCAATAAATAGGATTAAAGGCGGCTGGCAGGATATTGACCACATCATCATCCATACAGTGCAGATTTGTCAATAAAAACAGAGGTCTAGCAGAAAATGGCAGAGGTGTGAAATGGTTGTTTGCTGACAGACATCCGGATGACTCCACCAGTATTCCACCTAGCTGGCATTATTTTATGTCTACATGGGGATTGGGGAATCACCTAAAATACGGGTGGGGGGGGGGGGGGAATAAGCATTTTTGTTTTCTAAATCCCAGAATTCTTCTTCTGCACTATAAACCCTAATAGGGCACAGACCCAACCAACTGACACCAAGCCTCCCTACCCTCTGCTGTCTAAAATGGCACATCAGGCCACACCTCACACATTTTTGCATCTCCGTCTGATTTTCTTTGTGTTTTTCTACAATGAAGATTTGGACCCATCAAAGAAGCAAACAGAATGGTCAGTCAGTCAGGAGCATGTCCTCTGCAGAACCTTGCTCCCATAACAATCCTCCGGAAGACTTCTCAATCATAAACAAGATGTTCGACATCCAATACACCCATATGGAGATCATCCGTCACATCCTGCACCCATCTTCTCTTTGGCGTTCCTCTTCCTCTCTTTCCGGGCATATACCCCTCCATTATTGTTCCTTCCAAAATTTTGTGACATTTCAAGTGACCAGAATATTTTATGTTATGTTATATCATCTTCAATAGCCAACCTTCTTCAATATTCTTAGAACCCATCTACAACATTTGTATTCAACAGCATTTTTGCGTTGGAATGGAGAGAAGCAACAAAATTCCTAACCTGCTGACAGACTGCAACAGCTGGGGCACACAGAGACACACAAATTGCGATGAACGGGAGTGGATCACTAGCCAGGTCAAGAAGAAGATGGAAAGATAATATACAGGCAGACATACAAACACTTGCAAAGAGTAGGCTTATTACAGAGATATATGGGTGCAGGGGATGTCTGCAGCAAAGAACCTCAAGGGTTCTGAATGCTGAAGAAGTAGTAGTTAACATACAGTGTGTTGCACCTTTCCTACTCTGGATTGACAAGCAGGTTGAGTAAACAGACAGTTTATACCATAAACAAAATAGCACATTAAAGAACAGTATAGTACCTTCACCAAGAGGAGAGGAATTCACAAGGCTAGGCACTTCAACCAGTTTCTGGTTAATCTCTTTCACAGTGCCAGCGACTGGGTTGTAGACTTCACTTGCTGCCTTGACACTCTCCAAACAGCCTGCTACATCTATAACATAAGTACAACATTCAACTAAGTTATTACAGTGATAACATTCCAATTACAACATTCAACTAACCTGCTATACTTATAATATTCTAAGTACAACATTCAAGTAATCAGCTACATCTAAAACATTCCAAGTGCAACATTCAGCAAAGTTCTACATCAGGGAAGCAAAACTGGATTATGCGGTACTGACAACAAATTTAAAAAAAAAAAAAAAACTACTATCTGTGAACATGGAAATAAAAAACAAGCCTGGTAGTCTTAGTTTCAGCTTCATTGCAAATGGGTCACCCCATCTTTGCTCCGCTCCTGTGCCAACGAAAAACACACAGAATGTTTATCACAGTCCCTTGTGGAAAGATCGATAGACTGCTGTCTCATTAAGAGAATGACTTGTGAATGCCTAACACAGTTGCATCCACTAATGGACTGTCTTCTGTCATAATCTAGAAAGTCCTTAGAGTTTTACCCTTGTGGTTGCTGTATGTCGTGGCAAATTAAAAGACTTGCAGAACCCAACTCCCTCTGTAATGCACATGTACTTAAATATACATTTTGTTGCAGGTAGGTTCTTAACTGTAAAATACTGCCACATCTATTATCTACTTGTTGCTGCCACAAGACCTTTAAGGTGTGCACAGGATCTCCTAATGTTTACAACTGTCTGAGCTGAGTTACTTTATAATCCACTACCCAGAGATTGAGAAGTGAGACATCCTCTGGTTTGTCAAACAGATTCTCAGCTGAATATGAAGTGAGTAAATTCAGTGAAAGTTAAGTGTCACGCCACCAAACTATACTTATCCTGAAATGCCATTCATTAATTTATCGTCTCTCAACTTATGATGCGGAGAATCCTTATAACTCAGTTTTGAATTTACATATCTGCCTACACTAACTGCCCCAGTTGTTACACTCTACCACATGCATTACATGTGTGGTATGTATTACACAGGTGTGCTAACATATTCTATGACATGAGAATATCTCAAAAGTTGTAGAATTACCACTTTACAGTACAGAAGGAGCTGTAAAGTTTGTTGCTGAAAGTGTGTTTTAAGGAAACTACTAAAGGGAGCAGTTACTCCATTTTGTTTATTGGAAAAAGTAGGGATCAGATTCACATTTAAGGTAGTGTAAATTCCACCATGTGGCAAGTACAATAGTAAGCTTCTAGTGGCAAAAATATGTCCTTTGATCTTTACATGTTCTCAGCACAGGTCCAGCCAGGTCATGACTCTGTAAATCACAACAGAACAAAACAAATATTTACTGACCTATCTAAATTATTATTGCACCCAGTAACATACACAAACATTATCTAGCACCCGGTTCTAATCACGTTAAGTGGCCCACAATGAAAGTGACTTCCCTCCCCACCGATGCCTCGATCTGGTGTAGCGCTTGCACTATGTCGCAGGAGTGCATCCTAGGTCGCATGACTGTATGCAGCATATAACAGAGGCTGTATACAGTCGTGGGATATACGCTGAGGCTGTGGAGTAGGGGGAATGGAGTTAGGCACAGTTGCACATGTTTTGGGACTGTTAAAAGCTCATGGCATAGAAGACGTGATATCGCCGGCTGCTGAGAACAAGGAGGTATACAACTCAATACCCATGAAACCCCTGCTAAATAGTGAAAGCACTACACCAGATCCAGGCATCAATGGGAAGGGAAGTCAATCTCATTGTGGGCTGCTTATCGCGTAATGTACCTAGCACCCAAATATAATGTGACATAATTGATAAACTACTGCAGTTCTCACCACCAGCTTGCAGTTTAGTGCCGACTTCTGGTGTTTCTACGTACACAATTTCACCCAGCTGTTCCTGTGAATTGAAGTCGTAGAGCACAGTTAGAGAACATTCAAACACAAGGTGGCAGCAAGTTATCAAGGTCACAGCTACTGACTATTTGTTGCTTCACATGCCATGCAATAGTTATCAAACTCCAGAAAAAGCAACATTGCATGCAACCGCGCCTCTGTCATGACATGCGTGCATGACGTGTGGAGTTCTACCATCATAATCTCAAGTGCTTTGCCAGTTGATGTGTGTCAACTTTTCCACATCTGTGATGTTATCTGTATGTATAAATCCACACGGTGAAAACTTTCCATGCCATGACAAAAGGCATAAAAAATCTTCCCTCACTGTCTTGTATTTCCTCATCTATAAATAAATCTATCTGTCAAAACACCTGATTCTTCATCTTCAAATAATGTTTAAAAAAATTTAGTTTTCTGGGGTTTGTAATGAGCTGTCCTTTTTTAAAGGTAATTATGTTCCTCATTTTTGGCTGTCCACAGAATCCTGTGAAAAGCATTGTTCTGTAGAACCACATCGCTGAGGCCATAGCTTGCATTTTAGCATATTTGTTAACTGTTCAGAATTCACAGCCAGATGTTAGAAATGATTCTGTGCAACATGCAATCATAATTTTCCTGTGTCCTGTCATAACATTCCCACATTACTGAGGTTAATAAACATGCCCTCGGTTGTACCCCACAAGAATGACTCAGGAACACCACTTAAAATCTGCAAGGCAAGAGACAAAGAGGATGTTTTAGAAGAACACACAACTGGACATAACAATGGAGCAGAGACCTAAGCAGAGCTGAAGAAATGTGTCAGAACAATGGATCACTGAGGGGCATGATCAGATGGTTTATATAGCAAACATAAAAGTGGCTGACATGCTTATCTGCATGCGAACAACTGTGTGTTGATTATCGTACAGGAGACAGAAGCTGCATCTGTGCATTAAGGTGAATTTGACCATTCTATCTTGACAACTGGGAAGATCAACAGTAGAAGATGGAGAGGCAGACAATGATGACAGATGGACTGCGACAGTGGCAGGGAGGGATATCATCGGCAGAACTGATCCAGAAAACAAGGGACCGAGATCTGTGGGGATGCAGGAACGCAGTCGACGGGGCATAAGATTACAATGATGCTCTTGGAAAATGAACAGGAAATGAGATATGAATTAAACCTCTTTCACCGCCTATATTTTTATTTCTTAAAAAAAAAGTACAATACTTAATAACAATGTTTAATGTCACCCAAGTTCTCATACAACTGAGACGTCACAGGCAGCAGCATAGAGGCCAGCATGTCTGGTAGTCAGTATGATGTTCTTCCCTTGAGGTGGACAGTATGTCAACTGACTGAGTCTATCATCCCCATCCCAAAAACAAGTCCTTACCCACATGACTGCAGGTTACACATATAACTTCACAGGAAGTTGAAGCGGGTATCTGGGATTGACCCTGTTAGTCTCGCATCCAGATTGAGATTGCTTTTAATTTTACGGTAGTAAACCAGGTAGCAGCCCAGAGATCAACCGAAGCACCCTAAATCCCAGAAGCAAAGGTGGCTAGCATGAAACTGACCACATCACTCACTGAACTTGACTGTTTTAAATATATGGTACTAGTACCACATACCCCATAATCCGTTTAGCATGGGAAAATGTCCTTCACCTTGTCTATTATGTTATGTAACATATCAGAAGTCAGGACAGGAATATCTTGGAAACACTTGTATTGTCTTTCTGTCTCTTTTTTCACAAATCTCTACAGTGGTTGTAACATGTTCCAGTTTCTTCTTATAACATAGACACACAAAAAAGGGTGTCTTTTGATGTATGTGACAAACTGCCTCAGGCCTTTGCCTCTGTCAAAACATCTTTTGTAAATCCACATCTATGAGGGCTTAATAGATTTGTCTGGCATGTTTATTCTTCTTCTTCTTCACTTCCACTTCTACCGCTGTGGGTGTCGAGGGAGACATAAGGTTCTGTCTCTACTCTTCTGGCCGCCTCGACCATAGGCACATTGTGCTGTTGTAGAGTTTCTCTGATGTTATCCTTCCATCTTGTCCTTGGTCTACCTCGTGTTCTATGTCCTTCTTCTCTTTCCATGAATGCTTTGCATGGTATGGCATGTTTATTACCTTGCCAAAATTCATAACATAAATTAAAACTGGTTCTATATAGCACGCACAAATTTATTTTCAAACTTTTCATGACAGGGATCTTTTGCACAAGATGTTCAATTTCGACTATACAATATTTGTCCTATATCTGTTCTCTATCTCAGTGATACTTCTTCCATCTGATGTTATTCATATGTGTGAATACTTAAACGTCTGTTTTTGTTCTAAAATAATACCAGCGACCTTTATTACTAGTTTAGACAGTTATTTGTTTTTGTCATCACCATTACTTTTGTCTTTCCCTTTTTCCAAACTGAGGCTCATTCTGTCTCTACCACTACTGTATCTATCAGTTCCTGTAGGCTCTCTGACTTGTTTCTATAGAGATGGTGTCATCAGCATAAAGAAGATTATTAAATTATAACCATCAAACCAAATCCCAGGCACTTCCATTATATATTCACTGTATAATGAAAATAAATCAGATGACAGCACACATCCTTCTTGTAGACCCTCGAAGATTTAAAATTTACTCATTGATTGCTAATTTGTACAGCTGCTGCTTGCTGCTTACCAAATATTGTTTAATTTGTCTAGTAGTTTGATCATTGTTTCACAGCAAAATGCTTTCACATAGTCAATGTAGCATAAGTACAGATCTTCTTCTTTGTTCATGGCCTCAAGCTGCTGCAGAGTCCTAGATGTTTGTCCATTTGGATTTGTGTGTGTGCCTGGGTCTGAGCTTTGCTTGTACATCCATTTTACTGGCTTTTTGTGTGTGCAGTTCACTGTTCCTTGCAGCTCGTGCAGATGCATTCTACTGTGAATGAAGTCCCCAGTTAGTCAACTCCTATGACATGCTTGCTGGGAAGGCTGTGGGTCTATTCTTGTTTTTTTCATAATAGGGCCCCTGAAACCATATGGGTAAGAAAAGATCAATGTTTATTTCTATTGCTCTTTCCCATAGACTCCTGAGAATGTATATGGCATTGTTTGTACTTTTTCCATCCATAAATCCACAATGTTATTGTTTTTTTTCTTCTCATAATAATTCTCAGCAACATCTGTCACATGACTGGCGTGAAGATAAACTTACCTGAGCATAATTGGAGATTCCAACTGTTCCTACCAAACTATCTACGAATATCCACTCATGCTTGTCTGTGTAAAATCGGGCTGCAGATAAGCAGAACAGAAAAAAAAAAAATGTCTTTAAATACAGAAGGTAGAATGTTGAATTAAGAATCGACAATCACAGCACTTGGGACACTCCCATAGGTGCTCCATCCACATCTTCAGCAGCAAGCGCAGAGTTAAAATTCTGATGGTACCAGTAACAGTCTGATTGTATATCCGTCTCACCCCTCTGCCGAGTGTTGAGAGTCGGCCAAATCCCCTTGTAACTCCTTGCAGAGACATTCTCCTCAGACCGTAATGATCTATCTGTTCCTCGGCACTGTTCACTCCCTCCCAAAGGGCCCTCACAACATCCAGCTTGTCATACATCAGTTCACCACCAAGTGGTACAGAACCAGGCAGTCTATCCGCCTGCTCATTTCCTAAGACCCCGGCGCCCCCTGGAGAAAATATCCAAAGGATGCTAACAACCTGGGACCTCTGAAGTCATGCTTGCCACTCTACATGGAGCATGCCTGTCTCCACCTTTCTCAGCATGCTCTGTGAGTCAGTTACAATGATGGCATGTGTGTATAGTATAGCTGATTCTCAAGCCAACAGAAGGCAGCAGTGACTGCCTCCACCTCCATTCTCAAACTAGACATTGTGATATCATATGCCAGGCTTTGTTGCGCCAAGCCACACCATTCGCTCTGAACCCCCATGAACTTCGTCTGCCCCTCACCACAGAGCCATCTGTATTTGCAATCACATCACTTGTGCGGGAATTGTCATGAATCATTTGTTGAACTTCTGATTCTGCATTGCCAGCTGGCCAGTCCCTGCACTCAAGTCCCAAAGTGATTAGAACCCTACACAAGTCTGAAACATGATCAGACACCTCGACCCACTCCTCTCCTCGCCTAAATTTATCAAGCCTGCACACATGTCAAATTGTGTCTTCAGCTTATGCCATCCAAGACTTCATGCAAGAGGTGCCTCTTGTCTGCAGCTACTCTGAGATATGACTTTGCTTGCAGAACTTTGAGCCTATCTGCAATAGTAGGCAGTGCAAGTATATATCGCATACATACTATCGGGGTATCTCTTGTACATTCAAGAATCACCCGCATGGCTTCATTCTGTATGCGTTCAAGTTTCATCAGCTGACTCTTTGATATGTTAAGCATGCAAAGTCAATCTATCACCGACAGGATCACATGCTGGAACATTGTGAACAACATTCTCTGTTCCATGTCCATTGCTGCCATAATCTTGAGAGCATTGAGTCCTTTTTGGCATTTCACTGCAACTGCAGCCACATGATCCCTGAAGGACAGGCTTCTATCGAAAATGATACCTAGGTATCTCAGTTTGCTTTCTCTTTTGATGTTACTGTTATGAACTGTTAGGTTTGGAACGCCAGCTTTTACAATTCTATTGTCCAGAGAACACCACAAAACAGCTGCCTTTTCTGAGTTGATACAGTACCCATTTCTGCACAGTAGTCAGTCACTTTGTCTACAATTGATTGTAGCTAGTGAGCTATCCGTCCCCTATCTCTCCCCTGCCTATATGCAAGAACATCATTGGCAGATGTAAATATTCTTCCAACACCTGGTGAAATTGTAGAACCCTGGGGTAGTCCTGGGGTGATATTACAATGTTATGACGTCCATGTACCCAGGCGAAGGGCTACCATACGTGAATGCAGGACAGCTGCTATCTAGTAACCACTGACAAATCCCCTTCTCCATGAGTGCAGAAATCAAAATATCAGATTTGACTCTATTGTAGGCATCCTCAAGATCAAGTGCTGCCACAACCTGGTCTCATTACTGTTCTGGAACTCCTCATGAACATCAAAAGCAAAAGTAGCTGCAATGGACCAGGTATCTTTCTGTGGCCGGTAACTACCCAAGCCAAACCTTTTGGCAGGAGCTCTTCCCTACCAACTGCAGAAATGATGTTCATAAAATAATAATATGATTAAAGGGCAAAGACGTTTACTTAGACCAGATAGATAATAATCAAAACAGACATAAGTTAATTATTGATTATTCTGTCTTGCTATTTACACAGTTGTGTTGTTGCTTCTACTAGAAGTTCTAATAGAAACTCTTAATGAATGATTACTTGTTATCAGGATAACTATAAGTATTACTACCACTAGCAGTAAGTAGTACAAATGAAGTACTACTCTAAAAACTCACCTGCTACACATCGTGACAGACTGAACGATCGCGTACAGTTTGTTTGTGTGAAAGATTTGGTAGCACATACAGTTTTAGCAAAAGTGAAAGATGTCTTCACAATTTTGCGTGACATGGACGCTGCCATGTTGCCTGCTGGACACAATGTGTGATGTCCACGTGAAGGGGAACTGACCGACTTGTATCAGCTGATGTTGATCAGGGCGCCCTTGCACGCCGCTGACCTCGTTTCTTCCAGCCAGACACATTTGATAACAGGTCAAAGGTTAGCAACAGCTGGTCTTACTTTCACGCCTTGTACCTACTTCTAGTTCACGTCCTGGATTAATATAACTATTTTATAAAGTGATACAGCCATAAGCTCCAATCATCAGTCATATTAAGTTTTTTAGCATGGCGGCCGAAGCAAGTTGAATACGGACAGATTTACGGCATGTTGTCAAAATTGTGCACAGCTGCCTTGACTTGTTAGTAGACGGTTGTGAAAATCTTGTTTGATGCCATAATTGGATTGCCAAGCTGCCTATCTATAGACTTCGCCGCTTTCGCCGCGGAACTTTCTAGCAGATTATATATTTTTTCTACTGCTAATCGCAATGATCCCCCCCCCCCACACACACACACATACACGCACACACAATATATATATATATTATATATATATATATATATATATATATATATATATATATATATATATATATATATATACTTTTTTTTTCAAGTATCCAGAAGCCATGAGTTGGTAACCCTTAGGCTCGGTATTATGAATATCGCAACCCTTTGGCCTTGATTCTATGATAAAAACCGTAAATCTGGGAGAAATGTTGCTTTTCTGCCTACCCCAGTCGTGAACCCGGACCACAAGGAGTTCGTCACCCAGCCACCTCGCAGTCCGGTTTAGATAACTACGCTAGTGAGCCGGGCATCTGTATATATATATATATATTATATATAGATATATATATATATATATATATATATATATATATATATATATCATGTGCCCTGCCAGCTCGCGTAGACCCTCATGCGTCTCCACAGATCACTATCCCTGGTTGCCTGGAACAGCTCTCTAAATGATATCCCTCCATGCTATCGTTTCAGCCCATCCAGCTTTATCTCTCTTGGTCTGCCTCTATCCTTTTTTCCACTGATCTTTCCAGTTGTCACAATGTTCTCTAATGTCTCTCTTCTCATTATGTGGCTAAAGAACAGTGGTTGTCTCTTTCTTATTGTTGTATATAGAGATCTGCTTTCACTAGCTTTTTCAAGCAATCGTTGTTAGTTACTCTGGCCGTCCAAGGTATTTGTAACATTCGTCTCCGAAACCAAATCTCAGTGGCTTCTAAATTCTTCTAAATTTTTTTCCCACTGACATTCAAAGATTCGCTGCCACAAAGCAGAACAGGTTCTAATATAAAGTTTTAGCGCTCTGTTTCTGACATTAAATGAGAGCGATTTATTGCATAGGGTATTTTTCATGTTCTTGACCTATTCTGCTTTTAATCTATGTCACACAGTTTCCATCTTATGATATGATTGTTTCCAGATATTTTAATTTATTGACTTGGTTAAGTCTTTTTCTTAAACTGAGATATCACAATGTGGTGTTTTCCTCTTCTTTGATATAACCATTACTTCTGTTTTCCTAATATTCAAGGAAAGTCTTTCTAAGCACTCTCCATCCCCACAATATCCAGCAGTTGTAAATCAGTTGCGTTTTCAGTATCGTCTGCAAAATGTTTAAACTGACAGCGCGAAGCTGTTAGGGACAACATTTCCAAGGCTTGCATAGTACTGAGAGCATTTACCGCACAAGGCTGTTTGTAGTGTAGAATGTCCCATTCCAATGATTCCCTTTTTTTTTAAATATTTATTTATATTGTTTATTCAACGGAAATCTCTCTTATTGTTTTATAGCTTGTATGACGTCTGTGAAATGTCCACAGATTTCTTTCTAACTAGCAGTCTGACCAAATTAGATGACGTTTTAATTGCCCAGAAAGTAAGACAAACACTGTAACCTAATAATGCTTAACCTACCAGGAGGCGAATAAGAGGGTTGACTTCAGGCTGACGTTCCGATCTCATACAGAACTAGATGAACATTCCAGAAATCGCAAAGTTATCTACCATTGACATGGCGTGAGCTGGTTGCCGCGCCGCATGACAAAATCAGCATTCGTAACAGCATTATCTTCTGTGTTTCACCTCTCTTCTGTGCTTAGTCTTGTTTGGGTGTAATCACTCTCTGCACAACTGTCTATTGTTGTAGCAACAGCATCCACTGTAAAAACTACCAGTTCTCGTAAAGACACTTAGGTAATTCAGCCGGAAGCTCTAGAGATGTAGATCAGCATAAACAGACTACAGCTGCAGAGAAAGAGAACTAGTCATTCAATCCTAACATCACATTAAAATTGGAGACGGTACAAAACATCACACATTCAACTACCTTCATTTTCGTTTACAAGAACATCCGAGTCAGCACGGACTGTCCCAGCATCCCCCTATAGTGTAGTCACCAAAGGGGGCACCAGACTCCTCCCCGGTACTTCCCCGTATAGTGTAGTCACCAAAGGGCGGACCAGACTCCTCCCCGGTACTTCCCCGTATAGTGTAGTCACCAAAGGGCCGACCAGACTCCTCCCCGGTACTTCCCCTATAGTGTAGTCACCAAAGGGCGGACCAGACTCCTCCCCGGTACTTCTCCTATAGTGTAGTCACCAAAGGGCGGACCAGACTCCTCCCCGGTACTTCCCCCTATAGTGTAGTCACCAAAGGGCGGACCAGACTCCTCCCCGGTACTTCCTCCTATAGTGTAGTCACCAAAGAGCGGATCAGACTCCTCCCCGGTACTTCCCCCTATAGTGTAGTCACCAAAGGGCGCACCAGACTCCTCCCCGGTACTTCCCCTATAGTGTAGTCACTAAAGGACACACCAGACTCCTCCCCGGTACTTCCCCTATAGTGTAGTTACCAAAGGGCGGACCAGACTCCTCCCCGGTACTTCTCCTATAGTGTAGTCACCAAAGGGCTGACCAGACTCCTCCCCGGTACTTCCCCCTATAGTGTAGTCACCAAAGGGCACACCAGACTCCTCCCCGGTACTTCCCCTTGTAGTGTAGTCACCAAAGGGCGCACCAGACTCCTCCCCGGTACTTCCCCTTATAGTGTAGTCACCAAAGGGCGCACCAGACTCCTCCCCGGTACTTCCCCTATAGTGTAGTCACCAAAGGGCGCTCCAGACTCCTCTCCGGTACTTCCCCTTATAGTGTAGTCACCAAAGGGCGGACCAGACTCCTCCCCGGTATTTCCCCCTATAGTGTAGTCACCAAAGGGCGCACCAGACTCCTCCCCGGTACTTCCCCTTATAGTGTAGTCACCAAAGGGCGCACCAGACTCCTCTCCGGTACTTCCCCTTATAGTGTAGTCACCAAAGGGCGGACCAGACTCCTCCCCGGTATTTCCCCCTATAGTGTAGTCACCAAAGGGCGGACCAGACTCCTCCCCGGTACTTCCTCCTATAGTGTAGTCACCAAAGGGCGCACCAGACTCCTCTCCGGTACTTCCCCTTATAGTGTAGTCACCAAAGGGCGGACCAGACTCCTCCCCGGTATTTCCCCCTATAGTGTAGTCACCAAAGGGCGCACCAGACTCCTCCCCGGTACTTCCCCTTATAGTGTAGTCACCAAAGGGCGCACTAGACTCCTCCCCGGTACTTCCCCGTATAGTGTAGTCACCAAAGGGGGCACCAGACTCCTCCCCGGTACTTCCCCTTATAGTGTAGTCACCAAAGGGCGCACCAGACTCCTCCCCGGTACTTCCCTTGTAGTGTAGTCACCAAAGGGCGCACCAGACTCCTCCCCGGTACTTCCCCCAATAGTGTAGTCACTAAAGGGCGGACCAGACTCCTCCCCGGTACTTCCCCCTATAGTGTAGTCACCAAAGGGTAGACCAGACTCCTCCCCGGTACTTCCCCTTATAGTGTAGTCACCAAAGGGTAGACCAGAATCCTCCCCGGTACTTCCCCTTATAGTGTAGTCACCAAAGGGCGCACCAGACTCCTCCCGGTATTTCCCCCTATAGTGTAGTCACCAAAGGGTAGACCAGAATCCTCCCCGGTACTAGTTCGCCTTGCTAACAAGAAGGGAAATGTTTGCTTTGTAAGTTTGCTGTATTTAACATTATCGTAATGTGTTAGAAGTCGGTATAAACAAAACTCTAATATTGATGACGACCATAATGGCGATGATAACATGAATGGTAACAATGCTGACGTTACACAGTAAGTAAGTAAGTAAGTTTTACCCCACCAGGACACACAGATTGATAAACACCTGTGGAAAGGTCCCGGAAACCCCGTTCAACGTTAGGTTATATTTGTGCCCACGACAGCAGCCAGAGTGGGTCTTCAATATAGTGAAAAATTACGGTAGTAGAGGGATAACGTGATATGGGTAAGTAGGTAAGTTGTACCCCACCAGGAAATCACACAAGCGATAAACACCCGATGACACAGAGTGCCACCATGCCGATGAGGATCACACGTGGAGAGGTCCCGGAAACCCTATTCAACCGTTAGGTCATATTTAAGGCCTGGCTATATTTAGGGCACCCGGCAAAACCAGGATGAGGCTTCAAAATAACACAAAATTGCATCCCACAGGGGACGATGCTCGTTACCAGTAGTAGTAGTAGTAGTAGTAGTAGTAGTAGTAGTAGTAGTAGTAGTAGTAGTAGTAGATTTTACCCCACTAGGACATCACGCAAGCGGTAAACACCCGATGACACAAAGTGCCACCATGCGGATGAGGATCACCCGTGAGAGGTCCCAGAAACCGCGTTCAGCCATTAGACCATATTTATGGCCGGGCTATATTGCGGCCCCTGGCAAGAGCCACGATGGGGCTTCAAAATAACGCAAAATTGTATTCCTGAAGGGGATGAAAAGAAAGAATTACAATGTTACGAGTCAAGAAACAAACGTGGTCCAGTGTGTATTGTTGCTTAAAGTGTTTACTATTCGTGTTTCGCATCTTGGTGATAAACGTACAGCTGCAGGTATTCAGTCAGCTCCAGGGAAAAGAAACATATTTAACTATGCAGCCAAGACAAGAATTA